ACTGGCTTCTCACACCCAGATGTGATGCTGTGCCCAGCTGAGCCCCCATCCCAGCCCCTGGCAGCACCGATGGGTGGGAAGGAACCAGGTGCAGCTCACATGAGGTGCAGGGGGTACGACAGAGTGGAGATGTTTCCCAAAACAGCCCGGGAAGGGATGGCGCCGAGCTGCCAGCTCACCCCGCCGTCACTGTGCTGGTTTATTAAGGGCTGAGAAGCGTCGAGGGGAAGGAGTGACAGATTTAAAATTAACTTGCCAAACTCCCCATCAATATTATGACAATTCCCTGCATCAGTTCAGTGACCTGACAGCATGAATGGAGCTGTGTGGAGGCAGAGTTGTGGGCTGGCAGCGCTTGGGGTGGGCACCCATCCCTCTCCGTGGCACCCCATCCACCTCGGAGCTGTGCTCAGCACCACCTCCAACCTGGCCTTTTCCTTCCCCAAGGCTGGAAAGAAGCAGCAGCCCTATTTTATAGGGGGGGGTGGGAGGAACAGCATCCCACAAGGACCAATTTCCAATACTCGACACAGTACAGCATGGTATGGCACGACATGCCATGGCACCCCTGGATCCTCCAGAGCTGTTCTCCCTGGATATGGAGAAGGAAAACCACGAGGTGCTCAGCAGAGTCTATGCAGTGTGGGAGCAGGAACATGAATCCTTTCCCTCCCTCCAGCCAGCAAACAATTTTGGCTCCTTATCTGCCCCTCAACACCCTGAAACTCCCCAGACTCTCTCCATCTCTGCTGGGAGGGAATCAAATGGGGGCTACGTGGGTATCCCCTGTGTCCTATGGCTATGGGAAGCTGGAGCAAGAGCCAGGACCAGAAGCAGAGCCAGAGGCAGGGATAGGAAGGGACCCTGGTCAGGGCAGATGGATGCTCCTGGGGAGCGCTCTGCCCCACGTTGCTCTGACATCCTGTTTGCCATGCAGCAATAATCCAGTAAGTAAAGCTGGCTCCACAGGCAGTATTTTGGGATTTCTCCCTATTAATGGCATAAAAGCAACAGTCTGAAACTGCAAACAGCTTTTAAACAAAAATCACTATTCCCTCATGGCAAAGAGACGGCACAAAAACAGATAAAGAACGAACAAACAAACCATTTGGAAAATAATTCCTCAGTGATTTGGGAACGGCACGGAGTTTGGGCTCTGCCCCACCGTGAGGCAACAGGGGGAAAATCGCTCTAATCTAGTCTTTAGTGAGCTGGATCCGCTGCTGAGCCTCCCAGCTAGACTGGAAGGTGTGACTGGAATAGATCAGCTCCAGTCCCATCTACTTATTAACACCACACAGCATTTTGTCTATGAGAAGAACCTTTTTTAAAGAAAGCAGAGGGGTGCCCAGAAGAAGGTGGCTCTGAATGTGCTTTTGGCTCAGTGGTGGAAGGAGCAAGGAGGGGGTTTGATGTGTGATGGAAAATCCCTCCTCTGACCCCTCCCAAAGCACCCACAAGGGACCACACAGGAGAAGCAACACTGGAGGAGCGCTTTGATTTAAATCCTTGCAATAAAACAGCAGCAGCAGTACTGATATGGGGCACTCCTCTGAGCAGGAACCTTGATGTTGGCATGTCCAACAGATCACCCCAACCTCCACAGAAATAATTAGTGGTTATTAAGCCACCTCAGTACAGAAAATGGTGTCCACAGAGCTCCTAACTCCTGGTGGCTGAGCTGCAGGGAGGCTGTGGTGATCACATCCTGCTGGCCTGTGGCTTCATTGTCACTGATGGATGGGGAAAGGGTCCTTGGCACCAGCACAAAGGGACATGGGAGCAGGGACAGGCTCTAGGCAACACAGTAAGTTGTTCCATCAGTGCTGGTGTCTATATGGAACACATATGGTGCAGCAAGAACCAGTCTGCCTGCTGCCCAGTCCTGTTGTGGGTACATTCTGGCTGATCTCAGCAGCCAGTATCTACTTCCTCCATCCTTCTCTTGGGCATTCCCATCTCCTCAGTCCCACCACTGAAGTCCCTGGGTGCTGCCTGACCCCCCTTGCATAAAATGACATCGGTTACAAGGGAAAAACCAAAATCTGAGCAGCGTGTTGGTCTGAGGTCTGGGACCTCCCAAGGTGTGCAGCTCTCCCACTGCCAGCCTGCTGTGCTGCATTCCCATATCCATCCTTACTCTGCATCCTGAAGGTTCCTGCTGCATATCCCCATCCTCTTCAGCTGGTCAAACACACTAAAGCTGTTGGTGCTACCCCTGCTACATCCCAGTGACTGCCAAGCATGGTCAGTAGGGTGTCAGAGGATGGGCCAGGCTTGGTGGGGCCAAACAATAGGTCAAGAGGCAATGGGCAGAAGCTGATGCCCAGGAAGTTCCACCTGAACATGAGAAAGAACTTCTTTACTGTGCAGGTGACCGAGCACTGGAACAAATTGCCCAGAGAGGGTGTGGACTCTCCCTCACTGGGTTATTCAAGGACTGTCTGGACACAGTCCTGTGCCATGTGCTCTGGGATGGCCCTGCTTGAGCAGGGAGGCTGGACCAGATGCCCTACTATGGTCCCTTCCAACCTCACCCAATCTGTGATTCTGTGTGACCACACAGCCACCAGAAGGACAGAGACTCCAATCAGTGCTGCAGCCCCTTAGATGGCAAAGACACCCCCCTGATCCTAATGGGATGGAAATTCTGTGGTAACTGATAGGTGTTGCCCAGGCCAGGGTGTGTGAGGCAGCTTTTCCCAGCACAAAGACTCCCTCCCAACACCATGCTGATATGCCTGGCAAATCCAGAATATCCTATTTATTAAAGACACTGAAGATGCGGCGACATGGGAAGCAGACACCATTCAAAGGACTGTCACATCTGCATAGCTAAAGGATCCCAGCAGTTATAAATCCCTCTAAAATACTCAGCCCCTTGTTCTGATAGCAGGTTCTTGCTCCTACTTTGCAGAAACAGGCTTTTAATCCCTGGTATTAGGCAGCTTCCTGCTATGTTTCAAATGCACCAAATTAAGGGCTTCTCTAACAGCTGGTGTCTTAATGCTCAGAGAGGTTCTTGAATATCTATGAAAATCAGAGGCAAATTACATCTTTTAGTTAATAATTTCTTCTCCATTAACCTCCTTCTCTTCCCTTGTTAAGAGATGATGTAATGGTGCTTCTACGGCGTAACCCACCGACACCCTGGGCAGCCTGGCCGTGGGGAAGGACACTGTGCTCTGGGAACTGAGCCCTCCTCATCCCTGCCTGCTGCCTCTGGAGCCGACAGCCTACATGCAAATGGGAAAGGGCAGCTGTCCTGACCTCCCAAGCTGCTGGAAGTATTTCTGGAGCAAGATGTGCTGCCTCCCTCCAGGCTCTGAGCTCAGCCGAGCCAGTTGATCGCACGCTACACTCTGCACCACGTGGGCAGCTTTGCAGGTTGCTCTTGCTTCAGACCTGCTTTCCCCTGACCCTCACAGCTGTTACACCTGGGACTAGGACACTGAAAAATCCTGTTTGGGACAGCAGGTTGTGCAAAGAACTTGGCTGTCACCGTGCAGCCCCTCACTGGGAAAAGTTTGCCCACATTGCACACCTTGGCCATATCCCGTCCAGCATGTGGGAAGGAGGATGGATCACTAACAGCCCTTTCTTTTAGCCACAAAACCTGTCAGGCAGAGCCCCAGGGGCTGGCCCCTGGAAGATGCCATCCTAACACCTCAAGTGTTTAATCCCAAGGGCAGCTTCAGCACAAACCACTCCTGATTCAGCCCTGCACTGCCCAAACCCACCATCCCCAGGAAACTTGGAGAAGCCAAGGATAAACCATCCCCAGGATAAACCTAGGATAATCCCAGGATAAACCAACCACACAGACAACCTTGTGTGCTTTCCAGCTGGTATTTATGAGGACAGGGGATGCATTTGCTACCTGGAAGCGACAAAACATCCCTTAGACACACCAGCTCCTGGAAAACTTCATCTCTGCAGCCCTGGCTCTGCTCTGATGGACACATTGATGCTTGTAACGTGTGAGGGAGAGAAAGCAAAGAGGAGTCCAGTGGGAAAATTGCCTTTGTGTCCTGTCAATTCTCACTTCCAGCAAAGGCTGAGGCTCTGCTGGCTCTAAGCACTCCGCTGGCTGCGACTTTCTCGGCGCCTCTGTGCTGATGGAGCTTGTAATGCTTCTGTCACCAAGACAGCAGAAGGCCAGAGTTCAGCCTGAATCCACAGTCAGGAAAGCTTTGCACTCAGCTGGGGAAGAGCACCCAGCAAAACTCTGTGGGGTCAGCAGGGGTGAGCACCCACAGCTCCAGTTAAAATTGGAGGCAGCAATGAGGTCTCTGTGCCCAAACAGGAAAGAAACGCTCAGTGCAGGTGCTGGGCAGGGAAGAGCCATTTCTGGGTGGGATGTGAGCTGGATTCTTTCCTGACTGTGGTCAGTGCTGCTGCTTTCAAACTCATACACCCACCCTGCCTTACACCTGATCAAAATGCAGCTGCAGTCAGGAGAACTGAAGAAAAATAACTAAATAACTCATTGTCCAGCCCTGAATTCAGCAAGCTCTCCTCTGTGAGCACTGCAAGGTGAAGGTATTTACCTCCAGCTCATTTACATTATTTATCATGCTATATCCAAAGCTCCTCCCAGTGCTGTAATAGGGACATTGAATAAAACCAGCTTGCATAGGCTGAAAATATGCCAAAGGAAATGCTCTTTCATACTACAGCAATTAAACGTCGGAACTCATTGTCACAGGATATTGCAGAGATGAAAGACATCAGTGTTCAGAGAGAGAAGAGGCAACACTACTGAGAAAAGCCCCAAAACACAATTAAACACTCATCTGATGAGAGATACACTGGCCCAGGAGGGTCCTGTGTTGCTGTCTGTGGGAAGTATGAGCAAGTAGGAAAGCCATAGATGTTTATTGTCCTCTTGTTCTCTTCCCCTAGTGAGCATATCAAAGATGCTGCCTTTGTACCACTGGACCTTGGTCCTGTCTCACCATCCTGCTGTTCCCAAGACTAGGAGAAGAACCAGGACATACCTGAAAGTCATTTGGAACACCTGGCCTTGGTTGACATGCTGGGTCCTATTGTTATAGCCATGAAGCATCTCCCCAAAAAGGGTGTCGTTGAACTTGGCATCCGACTTCAGGCACTTGGGGCCCTCGCAGATGTCAGAGAGCATCAGGCAGGACTTCCCATCTGGGGCCAGCTTGTATTCCTCCACGCACCTGAGGAGCACCACAAGCTACATGAGATAGGCCAGGCACAGAGCATCCCACCCCACGAGCCTCTGCCAAACCCAGCCAAGCACCACCAACACCTGCAGCAGCTGCCTGGGCAGGAGAAGGGGTCACAGAGCTCAAATCCTCTGCCCAGGCTGGGATGGGTGACCAGCAAACAAGCACATGGTTCCCAATCCTCCTCCCTCCTGCAGCAGCACAGCCCCATCTGCCTGCAGCCAGGTTGGGTAGGGCTGTGAGCACCCTGGTCTAGTGCAAGATGTCCCTGCCCGTGGCAGGGTGGTTGGAAAAGACAAACTTTAAGATCCCTTCCAACCCAAACCATTCTGTTTCCATGCTGTCCTGCCTGGAGCTGCCCCTGCACTGGAGAGCAGAGCTGAGCCCACTGTGCATCTGCTGCTCAGGTACAAACATTCCCCAGGCCACAACAAAGCAAAACCAAGCTCCTGCCCCTTTTTCCACCCAGCAGTGCTCTCCTGCAAGGAAGCAGCTCCAGCATGGCTGCTCCTTTGGTCCTTGATCCCACTTTCAAGCACATTGTGGGTAAGATACACACGCTCACCTTCAACAGACAGGAAGGGAAACTGAGGCAGGCAGCAGGGATGTGATTTAACTGCAGACACTGGAAACCTCAGTGGAATATTTTGTATATGTGCTTAACTTGCCTCCCTCCTCCTCCTCTTCCTCCAGCTCTTTCCCCAGCATTGTGGCTCCCAGCTGACAGGGAAACCTCTGTTCCCTGCCTGCCCCTTCCTCCCCTTAGCCACAGCACTCTGCCACCTCCATCCAGGCTTGCTTTCCTCTCCCATTCCTCTGCTGCATTTTACTGCTGCAAGTGAAACTCCCACCCGTCTGTTGCACTTTTCCTTGCCTGTTCCCGAAGTGCAGTTCAGTCTTGAAAAGGGATTATGGAGAAAAAAAGAAAAAAAAAAGGAGGAAAAAAACCTGGGAAACAGTCTCTGTCCTTGGGGAACGGAAGACTGAAATGCATGGACATGGATGGGGACCATAGAGTGTCCCAAGGTTTTCTAGATTCTCCCTACAAAGGATGCCTATATGGATTTCCAACCGTTTCTGCAGGCATGGAACAGGCAATGTGCTCTCTCTTGGTGACTCAACCACTCTGTGCTGCTAAACAACAATAAAAAAAGAAGGTAGTGGAGAAAAAAAACAACAATCCAGCAAAAAGGGATAAAAAAAGGAGAAGCTGGCACAGGCAAAGCTCCCTGTGCTGCTCTTCCCAGGCAGCAGCCAGGGCTGCACAAGGTCTCTGCTGCACTTGCAGCATCGAGACTTGACAGGGTAACCCCTTTGAGTTACTGTTAGGAATTTGCTCCCCCTCTTGCTTGTGGGCATTTCCTTTCCAAAAGGGCTCCTTTTCCTCTTCTTCACCTAATCCTTCCCACTGGGATGTGAAGGGTCCTGGGTGTGCCTGAATGTGTTAACCAGCCATGGGATGCAGCCAGCAGAGCCAGGGTGGGCAATGGATGGCTGCAGCTGTGCAGCATAAAGCCAGATAATCACTGAGCTCCTTTTAGAGCACACTGCAGCCAGGGAGATCTTCCTGAGAGAAAATGCTAAATTGTGTAGGATTATAGGATCCCGGCCAAAATCAGGGATGAAACTCTATTTTAAGAGAGGCACAGAGGAGGAAAAAAAAACATAAATTTAAGTAGTGTTTTTTAAACAAACCCTCCATCTTCCCCCTCCAACACACAATGTACAATTTTTGGGTCCCTTCACGGTGAGTCACAGATCAAACTGTACCATCACACAGTGGGGGAGAGGAGGAAGGGGCATCTGCTCAAACTGCTCCTCACACTTCCATACACTCCTGCCCACAGGCAAACCAGGTGCCTTTATTCCCTGCTGGAATTCAGCTCCATATACAGCCTTTTTCTTGGATGCCCAGCTCCGCTGCTGGGCATGCTGGGTTGGGATGGGTGGCACAGGAAGGTTGGCAGGGATGGAGAAGAGGTTATTTATCTGCTAGTGGGAGAAGCAGGAGCCTTGGAGGGGACTCACCCACAGAACATGAAGATGGTGCTGGACGAGGGGTCGTGGGGCAGAGGGAGGGTCTGCTGGAGACAGAGCTGCTCACAGCCCCCGTTGAAGCCATCTGAGCAGTCGATCCCTTTGGAGTAGTCGTAGCAACCGGTGCCATCCTTCATGGGTCGGAGGTCCTCGGGGCACTGCAGCGAGAGAGGGACAAGGAAAGGTCACCTGTGGCTCCTCACCTACCCTGGAGCCCCTGCCTGGTGGGTGCCCTCCCAGAACACAGCCCATCCAAGAGCCAGTGCTGCTGAACTCAGTTTACACCTAAAGGAGATGAGTTTGTCCTGAGTGATGGATGGGGCAGCCCCACAGGCCCTGCATCACCTTGCACAGCCTTTGGGAAAGGGGCAAGGACCATGGGGCAAGGACTTGGTTGCTGCCAAAGCCTTGCTCTCCATCCTCCCTCCAGAGGAGGGTGAATCCCTGAGGCAGTGAAATCACACAGCCATGAAGCCTCAGGCCAGTGTGGGGCAAAGCACAGTGTGACAACCCTCTGGGTTTGTTACCTGTTCCTCCAAGATGCAGAGGAGTCCAGTGCAACCCAGAAAAAATACCTCAACACCTGTAACCAACCCAGAAAACCACCTCAGCGCTCAGGAAGGACCCAGAAAATCATCTCAACCCACGCCAGGCAGGCCAGCAAGTGTGGCCTTGGCATTATCTTCAAAAGGATCTTGCTGCCTGCTGTGGGCAGGACCCTACATGGCAGAGCGGGACTGGGGGCAGCCAGGATGGCATCCCAGGCTCATCAGTTTTCCACAGCCAAGGCAACCATGCCGAGTCACATAAGCTGGAGATCTGGCTCTAGTTTTTAATTCCAGTTCCCCAGCTTGTTTTCTTTGCCCCAAAAGAAAAAAGCAAGTGGGTGGCAAATGCCATCGATAAATTGTCATCCAGATTAAAGCACTATTCCACCTGCATTATTTATCCCTTTTTGCCAAACACACACGCACACAAACAACAACAAAAAGGCCAGTCCTTGAAAAAATACATAAATCTTGTCTAGGAGCAGCTCACAATTAAAAATGCATTATGGAATTTCTTGAAGATGAGTTAGACTGGAGCTTGCATAGGTAGTGATGAAGGCAGGTTATAAATGTCCTCTGTCAAGCAGAAGAAAGGTTATAAAACCTCTATACTTCGTGCTTAAAAAAGAAAATCAATTTTCCATGTGAGCAAAATGCTGTATATATTAATAAAAGTTCAGGAAACCCTGGACCCTGTGCTCACCAATACAGGCAGGGTCCTGACAGGAGACGGGCTGCTGAACCACACTTAATCTTGGCTACTCAAGAAGCAAACTGCCCATGGGGGACAGCAGAAAGGGGCTTTAAGGAGTCCTGGCCCACCCTGAGCAATCAGAGTCCTTGAATTTTTCAGACTGGAAGGGACCTTAAAGCTCATCTCATTCCAACCCCCCCTGCCATGGGCAGGGACACCTTCCCCTAGCCCAGGTTGCTCCAAGCCCCATCCAACCTGGCCTTGGACACTTCCAGGGATGGGGCAGCCACAGATTCCCTGGGCAAGCTGTGCCAGGGCCTCACCACCCTCACAGGGAAGAATTTCACCCTAATATCTATTTTAAGCCTATCCTCCTTCAGTTTAAAATCATCACCCCTTGCCCTATCCTGCTAAAAAGTTCGTCCCCATCTTTCTTGTAGATGAGCCATTTCTCTCCGCCTCCTACAAATCCTGTGACATTTTCTCATGGCAGCAGCACCAAAGCTGCTTCTGCCCTGTCTGCAGCAACTGTGATGTCTTGACCTCTGTGCCAGTCATCCCTCAGACCCCACAATGCCTCCCATGCCCTCAGCTCTGAAGCTCAGGTGGACATTGCAAACCGCAGCACCTTCCCTGGGGACAACAGGTAAGGTGGGAAGGGAAGGCACAAGGCTTTTCCAGCCAAAGGATCTTGGCAGCAAAAGGCTCTGGAATAGGATGCTGCCCATCTCTGCAGAGCAGTCAGGGTCCCAAAGACACAGTTTAGGAATCAGTAGCCCTGACCAGGCAGGAAGCAGCAGAAGACAGGGGAGCACGAAGCTTTCCAGCTGCACATACAGAACAACGATGAAGGAGGAGGAGAGGACACTTAGAACAATCTGTGCTTTTCACTGCCTGGGAAACAGGATCAGGATAAGAGTGTCTGTGAATCTGCAGATACAACACTTCTCTCCTGTGGTCTCCTCTGTGTCTGCTGGCCCTGCTGTAAGAAGCAGGGCTGTGTAAATTGGCAGAGAGGAGGCGTCTCCCTGGAGGACACGGAGGGCTGACTGCAACAGCATCTTCTGCTCCACAGCATCACATCCACGTCTCTGCTGCTCTTTTCACATTGACAGGGACTGGGGGGGGGTCCAGGGCTCTGCCCAAGCAACCCTCAAGCTCCCAAGGGACCTTCCAGGGTGCTGAAGACAACTGGATGGGACTGTAAGTCAGCAGGAGCTGCAGGACCACAGCCAGAGGATCAGTCACGGCTTTTCTGAGCTGTCACTTTGAGTTCTCGCCTTGGCACTGATCCATGTGCTGAGCTCAGCATCTTCCCCAGCCCACAGAGGAAGAAGATGGCTCTTTCCCTGGGACTGGGTTAGTGGGTCACCAAAGCCCTCCCTCCCTTAGCCTTGCTCTGCTCAAGGCCACCCTTGGGATATTCCTCCAGTTTTGGCTTTCAACCACTGCAAAACGTGTTTCCTTTCAGCTTGTAATTAAGCATCCTAATACACATTAATTAGAGCAGGCAAATAGCTCAGCACAACATTTGCAAAAGAAAGCACCTCCTCCCCTCCACATCCACCCCAGCTCTGAGCAGACCCAGCTCTCCAGCCAGCTCTGTGCCACAGCACAAAGCTCTCCACGGACAGAAAGCTGTGGGAGCCAACACACAAATACAGGATGTGTCCCTGCACTGTGGGGCTGGGGAATACAAAGATGCCATGGACAGCAAAACAGGGGATCCAACAAGCTCAGCAACCAGTGCCAGCTTGCAAAACCAACAGGAGAGGCAACAGCACCCCCTGCACGGAGGGGTTTGCACAGATGAACAGGTGAATGGGGCAGTTGTGGGTACAATAAATCATAGAATGGTTTGAGTTGGAAGGGACCTTATAAATCATCTGGTTCCAACTCCTCTGCCATGGGCAGGAATGGCACCCACAAGGCCAAGTTGCTCAAAGCCCTGTCCCATTTGGCCTTGAACACTTCCAGGGATGGGGCAGCCACAGCTTCTCTGCACTAATAAAGCTTTTTAACAGATCTCCCTGCCTCTGGAGTGGAGGATCTCCCATCAAGATCCCACCAACAGATCAGAGTAGGGCAAAACCAAAGCCCATTTGGGTGCAACTATGTTCTTGCCCATGGGAGTCAGAAATGACCCAGGAAGAAGCTGGTTTGTGCTAAGCCTGACTCCTTGGGCTGTGCTGATGGGTCAGTTCGGGCTCCTGGTTGGCCTTACAAAATCAGCACTCACCTTATGTTCGCTGAGCTTTTGTAAAGGAGCACATCTGTTCTTGCTGACATTGATTTGCCTGGCTTGGGCAGCAGAGAACCAATAATTATGGTGAGTTTAAATCAATCCCCCATCAATTTAGCTGCAGTTCAATTTGCGATCTGCCTTGGCAGTGACACAGGACGGGGGGCTGTGTTGGAAAATGATTAGAAAATCAATAAGCAACTCGGTCAATAGTTCTGTCTGGGCGATCAGGGGTGGCACGTCCCTCCCTGGTGGGAGGAAAGCTGGCAAGACATGGTGCCCCAGCAGGTTCTGGTCATCTACTTGTGCATGCCCCTCATCGGGATACAGGATGGATCCTACACACTGTTAGCCAGCAATTCAAAAGAAAAAGCTGTTTGTGGTTTACCCTGTTAGACCCACACTGCTTGGGTTCACTTCCAATTCCCAGCCCATCTTTCATCCATAGATCTGACCAGCAAAAATATCTCAGAGCTTGCGAAGAAGGTCTGCTACTTAATCCATCCTACAGAGAGGAACAGAGATATAGGGAGAGACTCCAGCTCATGGTCTGCTCTGAAATGCCAAGGAGAAGCTGTTACCACACAAATGTAATTCCACTGCCTTGCAAATCCACTCCGTCTATGCAGAATTGAACTGATTTCTCTGCGACAACAGACAGCCCTGAAAATTGCTCTTGGCATCGGGAAAGAAAACTTAGTTTGTCGTCGTGCTGTGCACTAGCACTGACAACACAGATCCTGCAGGCTAAATGTGACCCACAGCTCCAAGGCCCCGACCCTGCTGCTGCCAGTGGAGCAGGAGAAGGAATCACCAGCAGCTCCACGTGGTTTGGCTGATGGCACGGCTGGGCAATAGCCCCATTCCCTCCCATCCACGCCAGGCAGAGCATCCAGGTCCTTATTCCTGTGACTGCAGTCAGCAAATGAATTCTGAGTACACACAGGGAATGGATGTGCTGAATAAGAAGTGCTATTTTTATCTGGGTTTTTTTGGAGAACATGCTTTTTTCCTTTTTAAGTGACATCTCCAAGGTGACCATGGAGTGGCAGATCTGGCAGGACCTGCTGCCACATGCCTGCAGCCGCCCCGGGAATACACCAGATCCAGCCTCTCTGCTACACAGGGCTGTGGTCTGGAACGACATGGGATACCTGTGCCCATTGCTGTCCCCCCATCACAGCACGTGGAACCACGTGGCCTCCTGCCACCAGGACTGGGTTCCTCTGCCCACCACCACCGTCCTCAGCACGGCCAGAACAAACACAACAGGAGGAGGATCATCTTCAGGAAAGAATGCAAGCACATGACAGAACCTGTACAAGGTTGTGCCTTAGGAAAATAAATATCTGGACAAGACCATGCTCATGTTAGGTAAAAAAAAAAAGAGCCAAAGCTCATTAGCAGCGAGACGGGCGAGGGGGGTCACTGGAAGTAAAATCATTACTGACACAGATCCCCCAGACGAGAGCACACCAGCTCTCCATCGGAGCTGCCTGCCAGAGCTGCTCAGCTCAGCTCCTCGCTTCCATTATTAAGTTTAAAAAACCAGAATATTTAATAAAGTGTTTCTGTAGAGAGTAAACTGCCCTTTTTGTTATTCCACTCTGTTTTCTCAACAACAGCAGCCTTCTTGTCAGAAACTTCTGTGCCGGGCTGCCGGAGGTGATGCTC